AAAAACTAGGATTTTTTGCCAAAAAATCCTAATTTAAATTATCTTGCTTATATCCATTCAAGGTTGCCACTTCTTATAATCTGAATGTAACAAATTACGTAAGTATTTTATGATTCAATTCAATGTCTTTATTTATTCCTTCAAAATTCCTTATTGCATTGCAAAACACATCTTGCCAAATAAGATTTATATATTTTATATATTATTTTTATTCATGGTTTTGAATAATGTTCATATAATTAAGTCCTATAGTATTTTTAGATATAATAGTATATTTTAGGTAATTTAAAAAATAATTTATAAAATTAATATTTTTTATACATGATTAAATATTTATATTTATATTATTAATATAATTCATCAAATATTTAATAAATTAACTATAAATTGAGCCAAAATCACTAAAAATATATGTCATATATATATATATATATATATATATATATATTATAGTGACTTGATTAATAAAACTTTTTCATTGGCAAAGATAAAAATGCCTTCTAATTCACCAAAATAAATGTTATCTTTTCATAATGTAAAAATATATATTATCTTTTTTATTATTTTATTTTGTTTTATTTTATATCAAAATATTTTTATAGTATTTTTCTTTTATAATGTAAAAATAGATGTTGTCTTTTTACAATTTAGAAATGTATGTAGTTCTTTTACATATATTGCTTTGTTTTGTATTGAATTTTTTTTTGTGGCTTATAGTACAAATTTTTGTAACTATATATATATATATATATATATTTATTTATTTATTTATTTATTTATTTATACATATATATAATAATACCTTATCTTATTAATAATCTTAGTAGATGGAATATTTATTAATTACACAAGATTTTATAATTTATATAGAGTTATGCAATTTTACACATTGTTGTCATTTTCTTTCCACCAATTCTTCTTTCTATTTCTTCATTTCTTATGTCATAACTAAGAATATTGTACAACTCATAGTATAAATGGTGTCAAAATCCAAAATATCACTTACTAATATTTTATCTTAAGACAACATTTATTGTCTAACTAGTGGATGCTAGAAATATTGATGTATTCAAACAACAATACTAATGCATTCAAATATAATTTGCACTTGACAAAAAATACAAGGCTAATATATGATTGTGAGCTCTCAATTATACTCTAAAATTTAAATTTTTTTTATTTTTCTATTTTATAATAATTGAGCATATTAGATTAAGATTTATATAAGTGGAATTTAGTTTTATAGAATTTTTAGGATTACAACCTTTGATGATATAAATAATAGCCTAATTCCTTGAATTAGGTTAATTAGGACTAAAGTGATAAGAGTTAGAAAATTAGAATAGCAAATTAGTTAGTTTAATAGTTTAGACATTGTTAGTCATTACTATGAGGGTTGACTAAAAGCCTATGAATGCACCTATAATCATTCACATGATTTAGGAGTTGGAATTATAATTCTCTAAAAGATTTAGTAAAGTTAGCAATGATAATTTTGAACTTTCTTCCAAATTGGACAAATTCAAGCAGCATAGTGGTTCTTCTAATTAATGGAAGTCTTTTTAATGCATTGGTGGTACCGGATTTACCCTCTGGAGTGAAGAAAACAAGATCAGCACCCACTCCTTCAAAAGACAAGTGAAGAAATGAAATTCTCATTTTGAAGAATTTTACAAAAAATTGTCAAGATCCTTGTAAGTAAAAACTTCCATGAAAATTATTATTGAGCATGGACTGAGGCATGTGAATAGTCGATTCTAGCATAAAAAGGTGTTTTGAACACAATGGTGAAGTTAGATTTATCAAAAAATGTTTTCTTGACTGCTTACAAGAGCCATCAGCCTTGGTAACGAAATTGGCTCTTGGATGAATGAAGGCCGTAGATCTAGATTAGAGATCTTAGAAATCAAGGGTCGAGATGCAGCCACCCTTCTACGAGCCTCCACTTAATTGTACAAGAGAGGCTGGGTTTTCCAAGCCCTCTCTTTCTCCTCTTTTGGGTGAAGGACAAAGCTATGTCAAAATTTGGCCAAAATTCTAATCTTAATTTTATTTAGATTTTAAATCTCATTGCAAACCTTGTGATTGTGTGTGTATGGATTTTGAATTGAGAAGGATGGTCATTAAGTTTTAAAATATGCTTCATTGAGGTAAATAACTCCCTCAATCTTTCAAATACCCCAAGGGTTTTAAGGGCCTCGGATTTTCCTCAATTAGTCACTCAATTTCTTTTGTTTCAATTTGAAATTCCAAGTAGTTGTAGCTTTTGTTGTTAGCTTTCCGACAAGATAGTCTCACTTGTTTTGGAGTAAGAAGGAATTTTTGGTAAATTTTGCAGTCAACTGCCTTTGCAGTTTGGATCAATCGAGTTCGGAAAGGTATTTCTCAGTGCCAAATAATTGGTTTCATTTGAAATTTTTGGAACATTAATTTTTATAATTCAAGCTTTGAAAAGCACAAGATTTGTTGGATTTGAAGACAATCTGAATTTTTAGTGAATTTCTAAGTGAAGAGGGTTGGTCGCCATGGTAGTTTGGATCACTGAACTTCAAAATAGCAATTCTCATTACTGGATAATTAGATTGCAACAATATTTATTGAATCAAGAGCGCCTTTAAGTTAGCCTTACAACAAGCTAAGAATCATTCAAATCAAAGCTAATTAAAAATTTTGGAAAATTTTGGAGTAGAAGGGGGTCATTGCCTTCAATCCTTGCGTGTTGTCAAGGTACCTTCACTTTTACCTCTCTTATTTTATTTTTACTATTATCTTCATAGTGACTTATAATCTCCACATTTTACCTTTTAGCTAATAAATTTTAAGTTTTAACTTTTAACCTTTAATATTCTCACTTTAACTTTTAACTTAAGTTTTAATTTTAACTTTTAAACTTAATATTTAATTTTAACTTTTAACTTTAAATTTTAATTCAAACTTAAGTTTTTATACTTATCATAAATTAATAATAATAACCTAGTTAATTATTTTTACTATGTTTTCATAGTAAATTTTATTTAATATTTTAATTTAATGTCAGTAATCATTGCTTGGAAGGTGTTAATTTGAATTGAACTACAAACATCCACATTTAAATTAACTCAACAATTTCACAATTAGGAATTCCTCTATTCCATCCCCTGAACCTGTTGTATGGCATCAATTTAATGAGTAGTGATTTTGGGGCTCAAAATGATGCAATTGAACAAGATAAGAATGAAAAATTAGATAGAAACATAAGAATTGTTAAGCATGACATTAAACAAACATTAAAAAGATTAAATATTAAGAAGTTACTAATATACTATCTCCTTAACTTTCTTTATAAAAAATAATGCAATATTCTAGATTTTTGAAAATTCTTTTTATTAGTAGGATAAAAAATCCTTCTACAAACTAATGCAAGTTTATATAACTTGAACTGAAAAATTAGAGTTTTATTTTTATCAATTTTTTTTCTTTTTTTTGATAAAACAAAAAATAAGGTTATTATATGATAACCTAAAAATAACTTCTACTCTAAGAAAGTTTATTAGCTAAGCAAGAAATATTAGTTAAAGAATTATAAATTAAATAAGTTCCTTTTCTATGTACATTTGAATATATAATATTTTTTAAATTTTATATGAAAAAAAGAAATTTAATTTAAAGATCATATATAGGATTTTATTTCATTCAATTTTTTTAAAAAATATTACAACACTATAATATTAAAAATCCATTTTTAAAAAATTATAACTTTATTGATAACTTATTTAAGGTTCTTGACAACTTTTGAAACTGAAAGTATACAATCCATTTCAAAATAAATTATTATTACAAATACTTAAATATAATCAAATCTTTTTCATATATTTAATAGTATAAAATTTTATTTTTTTAATTGCATAAAATATTTTAATGAAACAATAATATCACACAATGTAAATATTAATTATTAAAATATTTAAAAACCTACATTCTTTTCGCTTATCAAATTGAAATATGTAATTTTGACTAATTAAGCATAATCTTTCTTACAAAAAAAATATTTATTATATATATATATATATGAATTTTAAATAATAAAAATAAAAGTTCATCAAATATTCTCATTAATAAAAAAGATTTAACTCCCTTTAATTTCGGATGATTTTTAAAAAAACTATTCAACTTTGGATTTCTTAATGTGACTTGATTAATTTAGAAAAATCTCATAATATTTGTAGAAGTCATACATCCCAATATTTAATATTAATTTTGATTTTAAGAATTAATAAAGGACTTGATAAGATATATTTAGCATTCATGTATTACAAGAAAATTGTATTCAACATAATCCATCAACCTTGCCATACTTTTAATTGATAATACACAATGACTTGTCCATAATCCACAATCTACAAAAACTATGGACCCTAAATGTGAACTCAATAGGGTTTCAAATAAGGCCTTTTTGGGTAATATTTCACTCGTGATGAGATCTCAAAGTATTCTATCATATTTTGAAATATTACTTGATACTTCACCAAATCACCCACCTTTCAAGGTGGATAATTTTAAAATTGAAATATCAAAAGAAAGTTCAAAAATCAAAAATATCAAAAATTGTGTCACTTGCCTAAGCTCTCTTCCCTCTTTGACTCCATACCAAGGTAGTAATAATGTTTGAGTCAGGGGGTAATATCAATGGGTAACAAATTTTGAATTAATATATTTTGGATTTGATATTTCAAGTGATCCTAAAAATATCAAGTGTTGAATCCTAATTATTGGTTTTGCAAAAGTGCCATGTTTGAAAACCCATAATGGGGGAAGTTTTGAGGCTGGTGTTGATTAGGAGTTCTACATGTTTAGATATCTCACATGGACACAATCCACTTTGTGCTGTATGCAAACCCTCAAATCTAACAGAAATCAGGACATCTATTGTACAGAATTAGGACGCTCAGAAGGTTGTTACTGCTCAACGCCCCAACATCAGAGTTGAACTTAAGCAAGACAACCCACTTCATCTTTGTCAGATGCAAAATTAAAAGCCTGAACAAGTTTGTCTATTAAATAAATCAAGGTTTTGATTTTATATTCGACTAGAAAAAAGGCTTCTACGAACTGTTAATACTGAGGTTCACTAGCGATCGTCTGGTACCGTCAGTAGTCTTTGTCAAGAACCCTGTAAAAGTGAGTGTATCCTTGTATTTATAAATACATATATATGTGTGTGTATATATATATATATATATCAAAATGTTGACGGTTCTCAACACAAGTATTTTGTTGGAACAACTACGCACTCTCAGGACTGAAATCTAACACAGGGACAGGACAGTTCCAAAATTCTTTCCCTTGTATAATGTGCACATGCTTTTGATACCAAATGGGACCAAAAATGTCGGGGTGCTCCATCTCTAGTGAACCAGAGCAGTGCACCATTTGCAAAAATATTGCAAGTTTATCTTAATAGCAATCCTGAAGAAGGTGGATTACTCGCTTTGGAAAGTCCGCAGTCACGCCATTGTCTCATACAGGAAATTCCCAGGCCTGCATACTCGTAAAAGACAGTCATGAGGTTCATGAATTTTTTAAAAGTCGGAATGAAAAATAAATAAATAAATAAAAAGTTACAACTATGACCAGTATCTTTCACAACGAGATCAATTCATGACTTGAACTTCATTTAGGGGGTATAGCACGTTGATGGTAACACTTAAATTCTTTCAGTTGTGAAGCACATCTGTGGCACAAGGAAAATCATGTGAGCAAAAACTATGCGCGTATCGTAGTCTTACATGCTTCAGAATTGAAATGAATGATTAGTCTATCATTACCCTTCTTAACTTTCAGCTGATAGTTAAGAAGGGAGTCTAGAGGAAGCCCTTATCGGATTAGAAAGAAATTCTACAAATATACTTTTGACGAGTACATAATTCAACCAATACAATTTTTGGTTTCCGCAAAGGATCTACACAGTTTCCAACAAAAAAAGCTCTGAAGAACGGATCAAGTTGCTCCGAAAATCACTTGTCATAAAGCAATAGGTTTGCAAGGATTCAAACAGAACAAAAAGCGGGAAGCACATCATATACCAAAAGTTCATAGGTTTTAGTATTTTTCTGCTTACATTAGATTGTTATGCGATTCATAAATGGAAGGTGGACCACCGCCATATGGTCGCAAGGCCTGGAGCTCAGGATATTTCATATCAGGGCTATCCACTGTGCTACCACCACCACGGCTATTGTTGTCACCTCCTGAATCTGCTCCAGTGTTATGCTGCTGCATGAATTCTACTGGAGTATGTCCGCGTTGTCCAGCTTGATTGCTTCCACCATCACCCTCCTTAGGAGAATCAATCAATGACATAACTGGATGTCCAGACTCTAGCTGACCATTACCAGTTAAATTGTTCAAAGAGGAGTTTCCAAAATGGTTCGACTCTGTGCGTGGTGTCTGTCCTGCCATGCTTCCAAGCATCCACTCAGGGCTTGCTATGTCACGGGGTATTAGATTTTGGCTTGACGGCGAGAAAACCTGCGCATCATGCTCCTGAAATATTGCGTGCAGTTAGCTTCCAAATTATGAATTATGACCACTCGATGGAATCACAAACATTCCAAAAATGTCGGCATTCTTGTTCTGCCGATCGTAACGATCAATGACGACCAAGTTTAACTTGTTAATAATTTTATCGAATGATCACATACCTGAGAGTTGGAAGAATTGGCTGACGCTGAGGTAATACCAGATTTTGAATCTGTAGACATAAGATGCTGATGATTTATAGTCCCTTGTCTTCCAACCACCTGAGTCAATTCTGATCGGGGGTTTAAAGGCCTCAGCCATGACAACGGAGGCTCCATTCCGTTGTAAGTTTGACTAGACATTGTTTGGCTTCGTCCCATTTGACCTCCTAAGAAGGAAAGAGAAAGTTTGGGTCCAGTCTGGCCTGCACTAACTCCCTGCATCCAACATCAATTCTTGAAGATCAGATGGATATCATGATTCAAGTTCGAAGAGGTGGTATTAAGATCGCCATGAGTGCTGTCTATGCCTTTTCAGAAGTGTAGTAATTACACATCACAAGTACCTGAAGATGTTGATACAAGGAATGGTCTTGACCATGATTATTGGCTCCACTCATCATGGACATTTGCCTCTTTGCATTCTGGAGCATGAGAGGGACTGGTGACATGGCAGAGAGCAAGGCCTGTGATTCGGAACCAGCCAGGGACTGAGAGCTCATCTGCATTCCAGAATGAGACTGATGCAGATCATCGCCCAGTCTTCTTCCGTATCCCTGACCAGAGGAGCGCAACTGCAGATTGTTGCCTACGGATCCTGGCTTCTGATCATCAGAGTCATCAAGAGATACCGAGCTTGGCGAACTTTTACTCTTTTGTGACATGATCATAGATTTTGAAGCTGAAAGCGACACCCAAGTTCAATTAGTCATTGATTTTAAACTATATGAAGTTTTAGAAATCGAGCCAAAGATCATGATTGACTTCCCGAACCCTGCAATTTATTCAAGAAAACCTCAGCTTATTTGAGTACTTTTCTTTTCCACAAATGACAGTGAGAAGTATAAATTAGTTATTGTTGCTACAATCAAGCTCGTCACATCCACTCAGGATTTCTGGTGTTGTTGGGTTTGATTGATGAATCCATATTGTTAGTTCGAAAATCTACCTAATCTAATCTCGAACAAAATGGATTTTTATCTTTCTGAACAAAAGGTATATTGGTTTTGTTATCAGCTTGGAAAGAGATGCTCTAAACGACGTCAGACCACACACAATTTTGATATGGGGGAAAACTTCCCACTTCGTTGTAGAGACTTTGATCTATTGCGGCTATTTAAGTATTGAATTTTCAAGTTAAATAACTAGTGGCTATTTCTACCTCATTTTTACCCGCTTGGACCATCATTTCCACCAACTTTAGTTCATTCCTAACGTACTACCTAATCCCAATTTTTTATACTGAGTATGAATTGTGATCAGTCATATCTGCACTATCTTAATTGCAATTGTAATTATTAAAACACCCTGGAAAAGCATAATGTTGTGTTCATACAACGGCCAAATTTTGTTCTCTTGATTGGTAGGAATTTCTCACCGTTGTTACGGTTACAGCCTGGGATATCGTTCTCTCCACCCTTCAACCCCGTAGATTCAGCCGTTGTTCCTCCAGGCGTAGCTGTATTCGATTGTGGCTTTCGCCGTCGTCTGTTGTGGTCTGCTAGGCGCTTTCTGCAGCTTCTTTTACCGTCATCGAATTCACCTAGCGAATGAAACCTGAGTAGATGAAGAAATGTGAGTGAGCTGTCCCATGATGTAATGATAGCATGAACCTACCATAAGAAACTTGCAAAAATTGAACAATCACGTTTCAAAATAACTTCCTAAATGACATACCTACTGCATTGCTGACAAAACCTTTGAGTTTGGCCCCCAGCTATGACGTTCGGAGCTTTTGAGTGGAGCTCACAAACTTTGTGACGACGATGGTACGGCTTGGCCAGGCTAAGATCGAATTTGCAACCTTCTGCTTGACACATGGGTGCTATTGACCCAGGTGATCCTGCACGGTGTCGCTTTCCAAGCCGATTTGTAGCTGTTTCTTCGGTGGAGAAGTAGGTTCGCACACCGAGGTTAAGCCCGATTCGGGCATGTCCATCATTGACCTTTGTAAGATGCACATTTAAGTTAGATTTTCAAATTCACTGTCACAAAGAGGTGTATGTTTTACCATTCCAGACTCCTGTAAGTTTTTTGAATTATTTATTCCTTAGGAAAATTCTAATACGACTAAGTAAAATCATCACTTTCCACACAAATGGACAGCTATATAGATACTTTCGAACGATCTGTAAATATTCCATTGTACAGTTAATTTGCATCCGGACAGACATGCACCCTGGCATGAGAATTTGATTGTGGTGGAGGTGGCAAATATTCTTAGGTACATGGAAACTGGCTATTTAAAAGTAGAACTCATTAATGTAATCTACGGTCTCATACCTCCTCTCTCTTGACGTGATGATCGTGCATTCCAACTGCAAAGAATTCGCGCCGACGTTGATCATAGCTGCGAATATCATTGTCAAGACCTGCACCACTCGTGGCTGCAAGGCCTGGGATGCCAGACGGTCCAAGAACATTGTGGAGGTTTGATGTTGCCGGGAGCTGCGCAGATCCGTCTAGAGATCCAAAGCTCCGGATCCCTGCAGAACTGTAAATTCCCATGTGATTCTGGGTAAAGTTGGATGGTAGGCCGGCGGGCAGCATATTGATATTGTAGGAAGCTCGGAGACTAGACATTGTGCCTGTAAAACGTTTGAATAGCGTATCAAGCTCAGCAACCTCAGCAACATCTGAGCAGGTGGAACTACCCATGATCCTCAGCTAGTCTCTTCATTCCGCACTAATGGTTTAAGACGTTACTAAAAATCGCAAAATAACGCATGGAGCAAAATAAATTTTGAAAATCAGTTTTACTTGTGGCTGATAACAAACGTAGAGGCAGCTGTGAGCTGGTAACCGAGTTAATTAATTACGTTCAGAAATGTTATGTCATTACCGACAGAAGAGTACCTGTAGATATTTGATTCTTCATTCGATCTCCATCACCGCCGTCAGTGGATGTTATGTCATTACCAGGATGCTGTGCAAGAATCATTGGATCCCACTCCCACTCTAAGCGATTCGCACTACTGTACTGGCTTGTGGCCTGATCAAGTGTAACGACTGCACCTGGATTATCCCAATTCTCTGTTGACCAGCTGTGGCCGCCTTGCTGCTCGTTGGTATTTGCAGAAGGGTTCATCCCATATACCACGAAGGATAGTATTACAAGTGTCTTCTTGATAACAAGAGACAGTTGGATGACAAGATTGAGTGACAGGGGAGAGAGAACACGCCAAATAAAGATAACCTGTAGACACACTCTAGAAATTGCTGAATAGATTGTCAGATAACAAATCTACAGTAGATGTAATTATACTTTTGGGAAAGTATCACATGTGCAGCGAATGTTAAGGTTGCAAACTATCTTGTTGAGTCCAACTGGATCCGGGTTGCCCGTTTACTCCCCCAGTGAGAGGATTCACCCAATCACGCTGACCCTCAGATGTACTGACCATGAGAATTTTTTTTAGAAAGATCCAACCCCTAATTATGTCGATGGAAGCATAATACGATTGGCCGAAATAGACTTGAGCGGGGTTCAATAATCTTCTTGATATATTTCACCGCAGGGGAAGTACACTTGAAGCTGGTTTGGCTAAATTCACCTACGTTGGTCGCCACTGCGTCTTGATTGAAGAGGAAAGTCTTGCTTAGAAGGACAAGTCCACTACACGACAAGTTCAAGAGCACCATTCACCTCTTCAATACTCATCTGTTATCTGAGTTGCAAAGAACTGTCACATTATCCTGCATGGTCTGGTGCTTGAATGGTTGAAACATTGGTAACAAAGTTTGCCCTCGCCGAAAATAGTTCAGGACTATGCGGAAGTTGTCTCGGCAGTAGACTTGGTTGCACTGGTGGAAGAGAAAGAAGAATAAGTAAATGGAGCAAAGAGAGTTGGCCAGCCACAAGAAAGGGCTTGCTTATTTCACTAAGCGACGGATGTAAATTCGGTTGCATTGGTGTATCCTCTTTACAGTCATGAATCGCAAGTTACGATCCGTGCACAAAACGATCCCTCGATCCAGTGAGCTTAAGATTCAGGTAAGCAGGAGACCTCCTTTTATCAATAAGCTGAAGGGGTAAATATTCTTGATCAAACCTGGCACAACCACAAAGACTGGCACTGATGAGCCAGACATTTTGATGACCACAATCCCGCTTCAAAACCACAGTGCGCCTCTACAGCTGCAATGCCAGTGCCGCTTCAGAAGCATCGAATATATCATGTCATCAGCTGGATAACTACATTACTAACATAATTCACAGTCCCATTGAGAAAGTCTAGGACATAGAGCTTGCAATAACAATGTATTTGCATGTTAACGGACATCTGCGAGTGTAAACATTATTCATGGTTTTCATTTCAATAAGACGCTCCTACAACTCTCGCAAAAAGAAACCTTGAGGACATGATATTGATCAAAGCCGTCAACAACCTGAATTGAAGCAGAAAGATTTAAATATCAACAAGTGGTAAACCAATGGTTTGATATTTAAGTATACGTGGACTAGTATCACCACTCATTAGGCGGCTACGTCCTTCATGTTCAAGAATTATAAGCACAAGCAAGAATACAATCTCCCCCAAGAAATCATGCATACTTCATATGATACAACGTTGTAGATGACATACCGGCACAGGCTGCTGGGTGCAGCTACGCGTTCTTAATTCACTGTTCAGGAAGCTTGAAATACAACAGAAGCCTTTCAGCGAAGACTACAGCTGCAATTTCAATCCCCCAAACCAACTGGTTGAGCAGTCACTGCGATGTATTGGGGACACTTGCATTCCGAAATAGGACTCCCAATTTCATTGGTAAATGGGTTGAACGTGTAGTTTTGCTGGCCGCTTTTTCTGAACTCTCGTCTCCAATCAAAAGATGATGAACCCAAACCCCTGACAGTCCCACTATTGATGTAGGTCACCGCCAAAAGGAGCTGTTCTCACTTGTAACTCGAAATCAGAGGAGAATGCACGCCTTTCCACAATATTTTTTTGTATTCCACAGTGCACTTGATGAATCACGCTTTCTCCTGAAACCTCTGTTGGCCAAAGTGTAAACCAAGAGAGGCACCAAAATATCAGACTCTGCATCAAACTGTTTATAATCTCATTATTTTGACCAAGATGATAGAGCTAAGTAGAAATCGTTCATAATACTTTCCTGACAGCCGCGATACTTCCACTACTTCCCTCATGTTCTGAAAATTATTTTCTCAAATCCGAATCGATATTCATTCTAAATCAGTTTCCCATCACCTCTAAGGTTTGGATGATGACTTTTGCTCGTGTATTACTCTAAAGTCGATGTGCCTGAGTAGTAGGCACCTCTGCGGTTAACGAATAAATTGAAGCAGCACATATGAAATATTTATTTCTCATTCATCAAACCTAGACACATACAACCTCCAGCTAATGTCGAGTAGCTCAAAGATAACGAAATTCCACAAAGTTATGACTTGTCTCTTGAAAACCGAACAGAAAGCCGAGAACAGAAAAGAAAAAAAAAGGATCCTTGGGTATTCTTCCTCTAATATCGTCCCGACAACATGAGCGGTCTATGACAGATACTTGGAAAGTGCTCAAGTACGAAACTAAAATCACAAGCACCGACAGTAAACACGGAAACAGCAAATTTGGCGGGCTTTAACGCTAAAGTGTCTCAACAAAGGTACGGTAGATTGCTCTCAGAGTCCTACATTAATTTCTCTACGAGATATGTCCCTGCAACTCGCTGTAACTTTGAAATGTGGAGGGAGATGTCTCATCTGATGTCAATGAACAATATCATTTTTATTTTGTTCAATTCAAGGTACTGCTTTCTTTGAAAGTCATAATCGAGACATATTATTCTATCATGTTACGCTTGTTGATAACATGCCACGCAGTACATAAGCTATAATACTCAATAGCTGGGAGTTATTCATAGCCTCCATTTCGTGTCATTCGTGTACCAGCTTCCATTCAAGTAGGCTTTCTAACGGCAACACATGAATTTCAAAGCCTGAGGTCGAAGAACTACCCTACGTGACGGAACCTCCCCTATTAGTCGATGTGCTGATCAATCTCTACTATTACATTGCATGAGGGGTTGACCTATGATTCGTCATTCAGCTTAGGTTAAAAATTCTTAGACCATGAGACCAAAGCATGAATGACTTTCGTTAATGATTGATGACAACAGCTAAGTTCGGTCAACCTCTTGCATTACTTCAATCAGAACAGCAGGGCTGCGGCTCAAACCTTCCGATTGATCACCTTACCTGTTTGAGTACGCCGTCACTGCGAACATCTCCGAATCCAATTGGAAGTGCTTTTGAACCAGCTGTGGCCGCTAAATATGAGCTTAGACGTGATATCTGTGGTCTCTGCCTCTAAACTCAGGATCATACAGTAGAGTTTCCTCAAAATAATTGAACTTAGCAAACTTAACCAACCAAGTAACAAGGAGCGACCTACTGGCGCTGCACTCCCCTAGTTTATCTTTTCTAAAACGCATAGCCTCCATGAAGTCTCTTGTTCTACATCTCGGCTTTTACGTCGACAGTCTGCTCACAGGAAGCTCGCGCAGTGCCAAAATATCCATGGTTTTCACGCTGTCGTCTTTGATGAAATCTTCAGCCAAAACCAGAAGCTAACCTGAGTGAAAGCAATCCTTTCTTGCTGCCTTGACACCCGTCCTTCGATACAGGAATAACCACTGGTTCCCGAACGTCTACACAATCTCGATTTGCCTTCAACCCCTGGCTTCCACCTCAACTACCAGATACCAAGTTTGTCGAAACAACCTGTACAGACGGCAAAGTGTCAAGGCTGAGCAAAACTTCCACTCTCTTCGAAGCTCCGTTCCTGGTAAGTTGTCACTCGATCAGAGACCTCAAACTACCCCATGAGCTATACTATCATCGCAATCGCCAGCTTCCCGACAATTCCGAAAGAGGTTTGGGGACAGTCCCCTAATGGACTAGTCCTGACTCTCTTCACTTGCAAGTTCCCTCTCAACTCTACTCACTTTTCATGCATGAAAGTTCCTCCTCAGTTTTCCTCTCTCTGGCACTTTTACTCTTCCTAACACACTCCACTAAACCAACCCTACACAACCTGCCGCGGTTGATCCTCGAATCCGAGACTCAAGGTCGGGTACCACTCCCCGCAACCACCCCCCCCCCACCACCACCACCACCACCCCCCTTTCTACAACCATCACCTCCTTCTTCTCCTTCGTGCACCAGCAGAATCCCCCTGAGAGGCAAGTGGCTCTAATGAAAGACCTCAACCCGCGAAAGAGACGTCAAAGCTGCAGCACTGCAACTAGTACCCTCAAGGCACCTCCCTTAATGGTAATTCAAGCCCCCAGGCTAAGACTAGTCGACGGTTGTCCTCAGCCAAGGTTATGATCCTCAAACACACTACACACACACACACTTACACCATGTTCAGCAGACAGTGCGAAGACAGGAGGCTGCTTTCACTACTACCGTACTCCCTTCCTCCGAGACCTGGCCACCACCACGACCACCACCACTCCCCCTTCTGATTCTACCTAGACCGCCTCGAGAGCAGGCAATGTGCGGCCAACACAGCCACTAATAAGCAACACCAAAAACCCTCTCAAAATTCCACCCCTCGACTGATCTCGACCCCCACTACCCTACAAAAGCATCCCAACAGCCCAGCACTACGCAAATAAAAACAACGACGCTCCTCTAGACACTTGCAACGACACCTCCGTTCTCGTTCGGTCTACACTCTTCTCTCCCTCCTTCCTGCGCACTAGTAGCCTACACTCATCAGGCCCGCGCACATTACAGCCATAAGCGAGCAAACTAAGTATGATCATCATCGTCGTCTACACGCTGCCCCAGCTCACTAACAACAGTATCATACATACCGGTCGTGAGTTGAATGAAGGAAGGCAGCATCCAGTGGCCCCCAAGGCTGGCTGGCGTTGGGCGGGGTAAGGTAAGTTTAGAATAGAGCGGGGGCGGGGCTGGGCAGGCGTGAAGGCCGGGACCTGGCACTGTCGGGATTACGTCACCACCTACAGTATAGCTACTCTAGCTATGTTGGTCGGAACGCTCTCTTTCTTTCACGAGCCCTCCCATTGGCCCGTTCTCATTCTCACCTCCGCTTCTCCCGCTGATCCAGGTACCCCCTCCTTCTGTACCCGCCTCCCTTTGTTTCTTTTTTCCCACATGGGGTAAAACCTCTGGCCCGGAGTAAATTTGACCAAATATCTAGAGGCGCGGCATAGTAACTTGGATCGTATAGCTACCCCCGCCAAGGGTGACTGACCCCCTTCGGGCGGGTGAAAGGGGGTGAAAATGACCATGATGGTAACAATCAGTTCGATCCTTCGATGGAAGGGAGGAAGGGGGAGGGGGGGGGTATTTACTCGTGGCTCTGCAGGGCTGGCAGGCAGTCAGTCGAGTCATGTTTATGGTTACTTATCAATGAAACCATTGCTTCGGTACCCTTTGTCCCCTTTCTCGGAAAAACTAAAAGTTAAAGTTGAAGTGAAAGGTAAAGGTTCGGGAGAGTGCTGGGGGGGGGGGGATATATAGCCTTTCATGGCACAATGTTTTTTAGAATGCTATGCCATGTCTTTGAATGTAATTTTGATTTAATTTGCTTCGATTTAACTTGGATTGATTTATAACTGCCACAATTATGTAAACCTTTTTATTTTCTATTTTTATTACATGTTCAAGAAGGGAATAAAATAGGATATTTTATTTTTGTGCTTTAATTCATTTGTTTTATTTGTATACAAATTAATAATTTGTCTATTTCAATTTTGCTTTGAACGTATTAAGTGAAGAGTTTGCATGACATTCAATTTGCCATTATATTTTACCATTATGTACCCTTCTTGCTCATTAAGTTTTAATGTAACCTCAATATAAAACAAGGTTCAAATTTATTATTGGCAAAAAGTTATGGTTAATATGTCTAAAATATGTTTTTTGAAAAAACACATAATAATATACAGGGATATTTACTTGATTTTATATATTTCATACGTTTATCTTAACACAAGCTTTTCATATGTATGCAAAATTTGTGAATTTACATGACATTAATAGCAATCTGTAATGGTAATTAACTATCTAGAGTTTGCGAGGGTTTCTTGCTTTGAGGGGAAATTTTCATTTTTTTATTTTTATTTTTATGTTTGTTATTTTACTTGTTAAAAAATATTTGTCACTTGGAATGCTCTACATAATCTTTATTTGCTAATTTTCTTAGTATTCGCAAGAAGAAAAATATAAAATAATCGAAGCAAAAAAAATGAATGATATTAAAGTACTGCAAAAGAAGAAACCCAACCAAAGGAAAATGTTTACAAATGTCACAAAAAAGAAAGTGAATATGACATGTGTAAAAACTCCACACACAAAAAGTTAAATTTTTAAACTGAAGAATGGAGTTAATTATTCTTCGATGTATTTAATTCTTTTTTTAAGGGCAACCGCTACAAGAGACATGCATTGGTTGCTTTTTAGAATGAATGAATGTGTGCTGCTGGCGCTGGTGGATGAACATCGTCAGATGTGCGATTGATGGATGGATGGGTGGATGGATGAATCTGGAGCTGGGCATTGCAAGAAATTGGATGAGGGGATGGATGGATGGATGGATGGATGGATGGATGGATGGTTATTTTACTGAGCCACCCAGTTAGTTGTAGTTGGCTTTGTGTTTGTTCCATGGGAATCTGTTTTCTGTTCTTCATATCCTTCTCCAAAATAATAAAAGTCTTATAAATAAATAAAAGTCTCAGTGGCATCCATGCTTTGATGGATGATGGCAACAAGGTGGATTCTGTGCATGCGACCAGATGTACCCACTAACTTTTATTTATTCATATATATCTATATATATGAATGTGAATTATCTTAGTTTTCACTCTAATTTGAGCTAGCTGAGTTAGATTACCCCATTCATTTTGGAAATACATGTGTATATATACATATATATATATATATATATATATATGTGTGTGTGTGTGTGTGTTTAAGGTGTTGCTAATGCTAGCACAGTTTTTGGTACTGAAATGTGTTGCATAGATGGTGGTGTCAGTGGCGAAAAATGCGGTGATATTAGCAGTACCCAATAGACATATATATGACTCTTTGTTTTGTAAAGAACTCTAAAATTTAATATTGTCATGATTTAACTTAAACAATTGCAAAAACACGTATCCACATTTCTCTTGTACTACTTGATAAAATAACAAAGTTGTTTTTAAAAAAAGAGTTAAGAATCTGTTGGACCCCTGTGAGCAAAATATAAATAAATCTGTACATAAAAAGAATGAATATTTATTTCTTTTGCAATTGATACTTTAAAAGTCGAATGTAGTGAGTGGCAAGAATGACAATTTTTGATACAAAAGTGTTATTTCAATTTGTGTTTACATTTATTGGGTCACAATATGAGAAATTATACTTCTATCTCCTTGTTTGATATTTGGCAGTAATGAATGAAATTGAATACAAAAAATGTGAACTCCTAACCCTCACAAAGAAAGTAGAAGTATGAATACGAAATGGAAACACAGACTCAGTGAATTGAGAGTTTTTATCACTCTTCGTGCATCTTTATTGAACAGTTAATGTTGTTTCAATTTGGGAATCACATCAAGTTTAAAATTTTAAAATTTCTTAAAATTCAAAGTATTTACATTAAAATATTTTACAGCACTACTCTATTCTCATATAAATATATATAAAAGTATAGAGAGAGAGAGAGAGAGAGAGAGAGAGAGAGAGCGAGCGTTTTCATGTTCTTTTTTTATAATGGATCAGATAGAGTTAGTAGAACCAAAATATGTTTTTTTCTTTCTGAAATTGGACCATCAAATGCTATAAACATATACTTCTCATAGTTACTGTAATCAATATCTCCAAGCATCAGTTTAAATAAGAACTGGAAGGTCTAAAATGGTGAACATCCATTGTATGTAACCAAGTATGCATTGATTTGATTTTCTCACAGAAGAACTAATTCAGCTTCAGCAAATGAATTACATAAGGTTTTAGTCAGCAGGAATTTTTGAAATAATGGATGCTGCTTTTAGAGATCAAAAGGAAAGAATAATAATAATAATAATAATAAAAGAAAACCATGATATCCTCAAATTCCTACAATTAAAAATCATAACTCATTTGATGAAATTTTCCAATTCATCCATGATTATGAATTATTCACTTAAATATTTTTAGATGTAGTGTCTTCTTCATTTTCTTCTTGCTTCTCAATGTTTGTACAATTTCTATAATGTTTCTTCAGTTTTTTCTTTTAATTTATTCTTATTATTTTTTTTTAGAAGTACTAAATATTACGTTGCCATTATCATCTAAGCACATATTTCACTTTTTATGCTTTATTACAAAAACCTGTATAAACATCAGTTGATATTATGATTGATTTCGATATAATATCTGTAAATTTAATGTGTATAACTTTTTATTTAATTATTTTTCAATGTTTACAAAGGAAATTAAAATCCCAAGAATCCTATATTTATTCAGAAATTGAACTTCCAATCTCCACCACAAAACCATTGTCATTTATGTAGATATTAGTACAGAGGTATTTTCAAAAAGAATTAGAAGCTTCAAGAAGATTCAATGTATGTAAAGAACTCTCTGCAAAATTCTAATTCAATTACAATAAAATCAAAAAAATTAGCTGAATATTGTTAAAATGTCATTCAAAGTGCAGTCAAGAGTATTTTTAATGTATAAAATGTGGCTTATCTAATAGTGTTACTTACATTAGAGTGGTTTCTATGCATTAGTGATTCAAGTAGTTACAACATTTGGAGTAAGAATTATTCTATGTTTACAATATCATTCTTTTCAAAAAAAATTTACTTTATGCAAAACTTATTATTCTAATATCACTCTCTGAGCTTCAGAACATAGTTTTTCTAGTAAATAACCACAACCTTGAAAGATTTGATTTCATGGTATGTGATCCTTCCATTCTATACATTGACCTCACCTGCATGATGCATTTTTATTTTTATTTTTTTAAATGATTTTTTCACTTTCTTAATAAATATAAAATGAAATAAAATAAGGAAAAAAGTGCTTAAGGAAAGGGAAAAAAAAAATTACTTTGCTATGGGCATTGAAAAGTTACTCCACATTATCACTAC